TGTTGCTAGATGTGAAAAACATTTTTCACTGATGGACCACATGGCTATCTTGTGTAAAGGAGCTACAGAAATAGAACAAAATCCACTTATTAGGCACTTATTAACCAACTAATGTTTACCAACTGCAGTCAGATAGTCAAGGGATTTTTCACAACATGGTAACCCTAAATTTGTTATTCTTAAAATTATTTAACCATTATTAAAGCCATTAGTTACAACTTATAAACCCTTTATAAAGATTGCCTTATTATTACTATTATCATTATTATTTTCAGTTGGAATAAAGAGTTACTCTCCTGTATTATTTTTGGTATTTACATTTTTTACCCACAACATTGTATAACACTTTAGAAAGCCAAAAAGCCATTCAAAATGATGTCTATTTAAATATCTGAAACAGAACCAAATATTAGATTTATAAAAATCTTTATTTAGACGGCAGGTTACTGAGGAAACATGAAGTGACTTAAGGCTGTTTTTGATAAAGAGGGATTCTGAGTGCAGCCTGGGTGTGCTAACTTGCTGCTACACAGCTGAACTGAAGACATGCCATCAGTCTGCAGAATCTCCATTTTGATTTATACAATTTAATCACTTCACTGCTTGTCTGTGTGTTTTTAAAGCGGTGCCTTTTTCTCACTATTAATCATGCATGTTGTTGGTATATGTATGATGTACGTGGGTTGTTTGATCAATGTACATGAATGTATTTTAAAATTGCAATGAAGTATATAAAATGGAAACAATTAATTTGTTGATTTAATGTTTCTTCTTTTTCAAGATGAGATTTAACATGTTTAGCATTTATTGGCATCCATTTACTGTTCTGTGTATGACTGTGAAGTTGGTATTGAATAACAAGCATGCTCAGATGTGGATGTAAATGTAAATCTGGGCCAAATGAGCACTGTGAACTGTGATGCAATCAAATGTTTCTGTTTCAAGGTTGAAGTAAAGATGAGTGTATTAACAAAAACACTTAAAAAATTCAGTATTCCTCACATTCCTTACAGTCCTTACTTCATACTTTCATCACTCCTTACACACGTGTTCTCTTTTCTGTCCCTATTTCCTTCAACAGTTATCCAAAAGTTAAATAATGATAAATCATGTTGACTTGAAGGAATGCTTTTAATATTGCTGCTGCTGTTTTACATTAATGCTGTTCATAAGTTTCAGTTTCTCAGGAATGATTTTGTAAGGATGTAGAGGAGCCTTGCCCATGAAGGCAAACAGGACATGCAAACACTTTCCTTTGAGTTCAGTCAAGTCCCATCTCAGACACAGAAGGCTGACATTCCTAAAGCTGACGTGGAAATGTTTTGTGAGTATACATTTTTGTTTGTAATACTGTTCCTTCATATTAATCAACAAATATATTAATTATCAAACATATCTGCTCAGGACAGGACAACTCAGCGTAAACAACAAGTTTTTGTTTTCTTTTTGTATTTCATTTACAGTTCCGGGATTACTTCCAGATTTAAGTGAAATAATTTGTAAGTGTAAATTTTTTCTAAATTTTTCCTTTGTATTAATTACACATGTATTATTTATCAAATATCTGGACATCGCTGCGTAAATAACATGTTTTTGTTTTCTTTTTGTATTTTAAACAGTTAAGGCCTATTTGGAGACTTATTTGAAATACTTTGTGAGGGGACAATTTTCACTGACAATAATGTTCCTTCATGTTAATCATCAAATATATCAATTATCTAATATATCTGCTCAAGGAAGCTCAGCATGAATAATAAGTTGTTTTTGGTGTCTTTCATTAACAGGTAAGGCTGTCGTTGTAGGCTCAGGTAAATAGTATGTTTTAAACATGTAGTTTTAAATATCAAAATCTCTAAGCTGTATTCTCATCAGAGACAAAGCTTCTTCTGCTATGTTCTTGCCTAGGAGGTGTTGTGACTGTGGCCTTGACTCCTGCTCTTCTAGCCTCCATAGGTTTCACCTCAGGTGGAATACTAGCAGGCTCCATTGCTGCCAAAATTATGTCATTTCTTGCAATTGCTAATGGAGGAGGAATTGCAGCAGGAAGTCTGTTTGCATTCTTGCAGTCATTTGGTAAAATGGATATTTTATTTATTTGCATCCAGTTTGTCATGGTTTGGGGTTTTTCATGTTTGGATTTCCTTTTGATATTTTGGGCAACCCCTTCTTCTTGTGTCTTGGTGTATTTCACTTCCTGTCTCTGTGTTGTGTGTTGCTTGTGTTATTTATCCATCCATTAGGTTTGTTTTTGTCTAAATGGAGAGTGTTAATACTTTAATTGGACATACGTGTTTTAAATGTAATGTAATCAAATGTAATATAATCTCACTGCAGCTGCAGCTGGTATGTCTGCGGGGGTCACTGGAGCTGTGGTCACTGTTGGAGGAACAATGGGATGGCTGCTGTCATCCATTTGTGACCAAAATGAAACCCACTAAAGATTTACAGAACTGTAACTACAGATATGATAAGATTTACTTTATCACTGCACTGTGATAAATCTGATAACCTTAATAAAATTTTGTTTTCATGTGTATGCCACATCCTCAATTTAAACCATCAGTCAAGAAGCGAGAATAATATTGTTATAAGGACATGAATAGTTTACTAATGGTTTACACAGGACCCGTTTCAATCTTGTCATTAGTATTTCAATAAGCCAAGAGGTTGTTTTATAAATGTGGAAGATTGAGGCTGGGTTGTTTTCAGGATGTTCCTTAGCTCTGATGACCATTTAAATGAATCTAAAAACTATGAAGATGATGCTTCTGTGCTCTTGAAATACTTTTATGTTATTATACTGTCCAGTTGTAAACCAAAATAAAATGCATGCAAATAATTATTCTGTTGTTGTTACTGTAGCAATTTCAAACATCTGCTGTACTTTACTTAGAAACATTGGAGCTGTGAGCTAATGAAATTTCTAATTAGCACTAAAGACAAAGTATAGCCTGTGGCTGGTGGGAATAGCATTTATTTGCTAGAAACTAAGCTAAAGGATCACCAAGTTACACTTCATCCTGTGGAAACGTCTTCTCATAACTGCTCTGTTGTGGAATCATTCGGTCCATCTCACAGCAAGTATGACACGAATTAGATCATATTAAACTGTATATAAGAGAAATACTGAAATTACAAATTAAATCAGTGCACTGATTACTAAAATATGCCAGTCTGCCTCACATCTTTCAGCTATTTATTACTTATTTAGTCTTTATTAAACAAGGACCATGCACAAAAACACAAAAATGAGGAGAGATTTTCTGCCAGACTTAGCTAGTTAATTTCCAGCTGCAGTCCTGCAGATTCACACAGAACAATCACCAGACACTAAAAACATTAATTTAAAGGCAACACCATTACATAGGCTCGATAACAGCAATAATTATACATACAAATCTACCAGCTCACATCAACATATAAAGAACAGCACATTCATCCAGTGCAACCATGAAATTACAAAGTCAAAATGACTGGTTGCTCAATATCATTTCTTTGCACCATGGGAAGAAGAATGAAGATTTTATTCTTTTACCCATGCAAGTTTTCAGCTCAGCTGGAAGAATGTTCCAGTGTTTGATGGCCTTAAATGAAAAAGCCAATTGTGCAAAGGCCAACAGCAGTCTGCCACAGTGGGATGTTTTTGTTTGAGTTTAGTGTAGATGGAGAGGTTCTGAAAAAAGCTCTTCAATGGTAAGTGCCTTATCTTAAATGCCAAATGAACCTCTGAATATAGAATGACATTTTCAAAACTTCAGAGGTTCAAAACGTAGAAATCAAAAACCTTTACCAACAGTTACACACAATTATTTTAAATTATTCACTTAAGGGGAGTCAATAGCTAACCTATAGGCCTACATGAGCACAACCCATTTGTAAGGTGGTAAGTCATGAACTGGAGCATCAGCTGAAAATCAGAAAAACTAAAGACTTGCTGAAACAGTTAGTTCATGCTTCATCACACCTGCATTCAGACAAACCTTCATCTTTAACTCACTGAAGAAATACTGTTTTGGCCCTGTAGGTTGTGGTGGCTCTTATCGAGATCAACCTGCTACAATAGCCTTATATAAAAACGAAGGGCACTTCATTACTAGTGACTGACGGCTCTGGCCGTGTACAGATTGTTCAACTGGGTTATATTAATTTCACTTCTACAAAGTATGCACATAATAATGGTATCTGCTGAGATCGATATTCTGCACTTAATTAGCTGGATTTGCAGTGCTCATAAATATAGGTGTTATTTACACTGGTGACGCTGGGGACATGTCACCACCACTTTTTGAAATGACTGATTTTGTCCCATTCATTTTTAAAATAATCGACTCTCCAAGAAAGAGAGCAGAGCTGGATTAGGCCCCGGCAATACTAGGCGTAACTGTGCCTGAGCGCAGATGGCCTGACTGTAGTGTTTGACTGACTTGGAGGAATTGATATTTTATTCCGATTTGATTTATACCAACTGCCTGTGAAACTATCAGACTTCCACCAGCAAGTTCTCCTCTACTAGAATTTACAAGCATCACTTCACATCACGTAACACACCCCTGTGCTGGAACAACAGTATGTTTGGATCTGGATCTTTATCTTCCAGGAGATTCAGCTTCTCTGAGTTAGTGTTCTCTTTCCTTTCTCCTCCCTGTGTAAATGGTGTTGTTGAGCTTTGCTCTTGTGAGTTGTGCAGTCTGTTGTCTTTCTTTCACACAACATGCATTGCATGTCTGTCCATAATGGGAGAGCATTCCTCCTCTGTTGAGGGATTAGGAACTGGAGGGTGGCCAGTGCGATTACAGCACAGACCAGTCCGACTGGTAGCTGGAGAGGTGCCAATTCATCTCCGTGGGAGCACATTCGCTTTGACATCTCTCCATAAATTAATGCACGTGTATAGGTTTTCAATTTCTTTTTGAGGTGTTAAAGATGTAAGATTTGTATTACATTTGTATGGCGCCACTCATATTAAACAAAAATGCTACGGAAACAGAAATGGTAAATGAATGCTATTCCAAAGTGTGTGCGCGGGCCCAACCCAGTCAAAAGTCTGGACAAACCACATATTTAAAGTTATTTCTACGTAACTGAAATGTGCAATCAGAGAAGGGCTGAAAATGATTGTTGATTCTTTCACCACAGTGCGATTTTGTCTGAAATGATTTGTATAACAAGAAAGAATTCTCCATTTCCACTTTCTTCTCTCCATGCAGAGCAAGGGCCAGAGCAAGTAGGCCTACCCTACTTTTTGTGACATTTTTACATTCAGTAGAATTAGGTAGCCTACTTGCAGCACATCAGCTCCACGGATATTACACTACCGTTCAAAAGTTTGGGGTCACTTAGAAATGTCCTTTTTGAAAGAAAAGCACTGTTTTCTTCAATTTAGATAACATTGAATTAATCAGAAATACAGTCTAGACATTGTTAATGTGGTAAATGACTATTCTAGCTGGAAACGGCTGATTTTTAATGGAATATTTACATAGGTGTACAGAGGCCCATTTCCAGCAACCATCACTCCTATGTTCTAATGGTACATTGTGTTAGCTAATCGTGTTAAAAGGCTAATTGATGATTACAAAACCCTTGTGCTTATGTTAGCACAGCTGAAAACTGTTCTACTGATTAGAGAAGCTATAAAACTGTCCATCCTCTGAGCTAGTTGAGTATCCGGAGTATCAGCATTTGTGGGTTTGATTATACTCTCAAAATGGCCAGAAAAAGAGAACTTTCTTCTGAAACTCGACAGTCTATTCTTGTTCTGTGAAATTAAGGCTATTCCATGTGAGAAATTGCCAAGACACTGAAGATTTCCTACAACGGTGTGTACTACTCCCATCAGAGAACAGCACAAACAGGCTCTAACCAGAATAGAAAGAGAAGTGGGAGCCCGAGTGCAAACTAAGCAAGAGAACAAGTACATTAGAGTCACTAGTTTGAGAAATAGACGCCTCACAGGTCCTCAACTGGCAGCTTCATTAAATGGTACCCGCAAAACGCCCGTCTCAACGACCATAGTGAAGAGGCGACTCCGAGATGCTGGAAAAGAAAAAGCCATTTCACAGATATTAGACAGAGGAAGATTGGAAAAAAGCGTTATGGACAGACAAATCTAAGTTTGAGGTGTTTGGATCACACAGAAGAACATTTATCAGACACGGAACAAGTGAACAGATGCTGGAGGAGTGCCTGACGCCATCTGTCAAGCATGGTGGAGGTAATGTGATGGTCTGGGGCTGCTTTGGTGCTGGTAAAGAGGGATATTTGTTCATGGTAAAAGGGATTTTGAATAAGGAAGGCTATCACTCCATATTCCAACGCCATGCCATACCCTGTGGACAGCGCTTGATTGGAGCCAATTTCCTTCTACAACAGGACAATGACCCAAAGCACACCTCCAAACTATGCAAGAACTATTTAGGGAAGAAGCAGTCAGCTGGTATTCCGTCTGTAATGGAGTGGCCAGCACAGTCACCAGATCTGACCCTATTGAGCTGTTGTGGGAGCAGCTTGACCGTATGGTATGTAAGAAGTGCCCATCAAGTCAATCCAACTTGCGGGAGGTGCTTCAGGAAGCGTGGGGTGAAATTTCTTCAGATTACCTCAACAAATTGACAGCTAGAATGCCAAAGGTCTGCAAGGCTGTAATTGCTGTAAATGGAGGATTCTTTGACGAAAGCAAAGTTTGAAGGACAAAATTATTATTTCAAATAAAAATGAGTATTTCTAACCTCGTCAATGTCTTGACTATATTTTCAATTCATTTTGCAATTCATTTGATGAATAAAAGTGTTAGTTTTCGTGGAAAACAAGAAATTGTCTGGGTGACCCCAAACTTTTGAACGGTAATGTATGTATCATAGCAACCAAAGCGCCTCAGCCGAAAAAAACGCAGCGCCTCCAAAGCGCACCCTAGCGCTCCAAGCTAGGTGTTTTCAGAAGAGCAGCTGGCGTTTTCAGCTGGTAAAAAATGCTTTGGTGGACACAAGCCCTTAACTATTCATCCCTCACCCCTCAATCCTCCCTCTTTGCAGGTGTGGTCTTTGTTAGTGAATCAATATTATAATTATCTCTAATAATCTCAGTGTTTTTGTGACAACTTTACTGTGGTCAGAAATAATGAACACTTTCATTCATTTAGGCTACTCTCTGTCCTTTCAGGTGGACATTATGAGGAATGGAAATATTTACAGACGACACACTGACCCAGTATCTTTCACAGGTTTTAGATTTATTGCAAAATGAATAATCAAAGCTTACTTGCCAACCCTCCAGATTTTCACATAAGACTCCTGTTTTTCATTGACCTCTCCCGGTTTCCTCCCGGGGTCACAGCCAGGTCTCTTGATCTATGACAAATGTTCACAACTTCGTGCCCTTTTCATTGCCTACATTACTGTTTTTGGCAATGTACAGCACCTACAGAATACAGAGTGCTCACAACCCACCCCTCCCACAGCCACTGCCTATTTTGGAGGTCTCAAGGTTGGGAATTATGAACAAATATGCTGTTTAGTAAGTCAATTAATATATTTTGCAATTGCCTCCTTCATTCAGCAAAAGTGAAAATATTTTTATTCATCTTGTTAATGATTTTCATCAGAAGAAGTTAGCCAGCCATCCATTCCACTGCTGCTCCAACTGCTGCTCCAGCACCGGCCACAGCTGCAGTGGCAGCTCCCGACAGACCAGCTGCACCTACGGCAAGATTACACAGGTTTTTAATCAAGGTATCTGCAACATGATTTTACTCTTGTGAGGGGAAGGTCTGCTGTGACCATCTTGCACCGAGGCTGTAATGCATGAAACTGTAATGTTCGTAATGAAAGTAGATATGAGCAGTGGAGAACAGAAATGTTAACTGAATGCTATTTTGACGTGTGTGTGTGCGTGCTCACGCGAATGTAGGCTACTTCATGCCACCCCTGAACAAGTCAGTGCCCCACCTGTGCCACCCTAGTTAAAATTGTCTGGAAACGCCACTGCACAGCAGAAAGAGGTGCAAAAAGGAGGATCGGTTGCTCAACAATGTAAAGCTTCCATTAAGTTTCCCCTTGACTGGCGAATTGGAAAATTCAGTGTCACAATACTACAACTTAAAAATAAACTTTTAAAATAAGTAAGGGTGTTTAGGCTACCTGCTGCCTGTAAAGCAGCCACGGTGCTTCCTGCAGCCACTCCTCCTCCGTTAACGACTGCAGCAGCAGACATCATGCTGGCAGCGTAGGAGCCTGCTGCTATTCCAGCCGAGGTGAAACCTACACCGGTCAGAACAACAGGAGCTGCGACCACCGCAACTACTGCACAGGGACAAGTGTTAATTTGTTAGGCCACTGAATCGCTAATGACAGCCTAACATTCGGTTTAGTTTTACATTTGACTTTTGTTCATTTAAGTGTATTAAAAGTAAACACAGGTGATCCATAAACGTTTTCCTCACCTGCTCCTGCTCCCATGGCGAGTGCAGAGGCTGAAAAAAGATACAAACGCATAACAGAAATCTACATTTATAGCTAATCTGACGTAAACATGGACATTTGCTATGGTTAATATCATTATTAGCCTACGATTTTATAAAGATATAAAACATAGGCTACAAGGAAAAAGTAGAAGTAGTCTACTTTTAAGGACCTGTATGTGAATCGTCCAAAAAAAAAAAAAACTCACCAAGATCCATTGCTGTTCTTCTCCGTTATGATGACGACTGAACTCTGCTGGGTTTATATAGCTGTTAGGTTTCGTTTCTTCATAAATTCATCGGCCTGTCTGAACAAAAGAGGGCGTCACAGAGCCCTTGTCCCCATGTAACCCATAACATTTCTGAGGTGGTAGGCTAAGCCATGAGTATAACTGGAACATCAGAAGAAAAACAGAAAAACTCAACTGTTGTTGAAACAGTTTAGTTATGACTGCTGCTTCAAACCTGCATTCAGGACAAACTGAAGTTCGGACCCTGTAGGTTGTGGTGGCTCTTATCAAGATCAACCTTATTACTATATTTAAGTATTTGCACTTAAGTGATCATCATAGTGTTATATTATAGTGTAGGTCTGTATGCAGGATATAATTAATTGCAGTAAAAGGTAGAAACTGAATAAAATCTGCAAATTTGACTCAAGATTGGATTCAAGGCTGTCTGGTGGCCATACATCATCCTCTCATTTAAATTAGATATTATTTTTATTTTGTAGATTGCCCTCTTCAATTTATTGAAATTTGCAGAATATATAGTATTCTGTTTCTAAACATTGGCAGAGTCATAGGTGGTGACATGTCCCCACCACTTTTTGAAATGGCTGATTTTGTCCCCGTCACTTTTTAAAGCACTTGCTAAAAGTTTTCTGAAAATTAGCTTGCAACAAGAAATGTTAATTAACAAATAAAAATTATATGAGAAAGGTTTACTTGCACAATAGGAAAACATGAAATGTAATGTAAATATAGAAGAAACAGATCTGCCTTGTCCAAAAAAGTAACTTATGCTAAAAAAAAAAACAAGCTACTGATTACTGCATTATATTTGATATTTTTTATTCTGAATCCACCTGAATTTTGTTTTACTTCATATAAGTAAAGACATTTCCACCATAAATTGGTGCAGCCATGTCTCCAGAATGCAGTAAATGAAGGGGTTAATGCTCAAAATCTTCTGGGGGAGGATTGCCATGAATGAATATTTTTGCCTTGTTCTCATAACTCTAATGTATTACTGCGTCTCGTGGACTAAGTGTTTTGTCACACCCCTGATCTGAGCCCTAAAATGTCCCCACCACTTTTCAACACAAAGTGACACCCTTCGGCCATATGAAAAGTATCAGTGGCAGCAAAACCTCCTCAGTTGAAAGTCCCTTCATGCTCTGTCTGGGTGATAATAAAAGCTCATATTCTGTTTACAGAAAGTTGCAGACAACATCTTTGCTGTTCAAGTTGTCAGGTTAATATATCCAATGATGAATGATGATGTGGAAGAACTTAAATCTCAGTTTCGTGATCTCCTGACTTTTCCTCTAGCACCACCATGAGAATGACAATTCATCTCACTTTAAAGAGGTGGTATTATGCTCATTTTCAGGTTCAAAATCTTATTTAGGGGTTGTACCAGTACTGGTTTACATGGTTTAATTTTCAAAAAACACCATATTTTTCTCATACACAGTCATGCACATTGCTGCAGCTCCTCTTTTGTGTTGTAAGCTCCGCTCTTGAGCTGCAGAGTGACGCATCTTACTTGTACAAAATCTTTGTTGGGAGTTGCACATGCACAGTTCCCAGGTAAGGACTACTAGCCAATCAGAAACAGAGAAGGGCGGGTCGTAAGAAACAAGGTAGTGTGATCCAATGAAGGTTAAAGTCAAGGGCAACTGGACTTGGTTGAAGATACCAGAAAACGTTTAGTCCCTCATCCACGGGACTTCTTCAGTTCTGACAGACTGGTAGGAAACTCAGCTATTTAACCTCAGTGGAGTCGTTTGCCAGGATTCTCAATACTGCTGGTTGGTTAGTGATAACTATGACCTGGATGACTGAGAATCTTCACAGACAAGGTAGTGTGATCCAAATGAAAGCCGCTTCAGACAGCGACTGTATGTAGCAGATGGTATAAGTTACTCACAAGTCCACAACCAGACAACATCATTGTTCCACATCTTACCATCAGGACATAATGTTCAATTCGACACACATACCAGCGATCCACACAGCTTTCTCTTTTATAAGTTAAAATGTTTCAACATTACTCAGAATGTAAAGACAGATAAGCGGTATGAAAACCTACAGTTGTGTTTTCCTCTGCCGTTGTTGCTGCAGCGGTCAGTGTGACGGCGGGAACAGAGGGCTCTGTGAGCGGGCGGCTGGCCGGCCTCACACACTCCTCCCGCGGGTTGGCACAGGCTTCCCCCGCAGCCCCCGAAAATATTCAAGCACATTTTTGTTCCGCCGTCACTTCTCGTAAAACTGTCAATGTTCGAAATCTACACAGCTGATTTCTCACCTCAAAACTTCTCAGAAGTGGATTTAGTGATAAAATTACATACGAAAACTGTAAAATATAAAACTTTCTGTTGCTGGCCTCTGTCTGGTGCACGCAATGATGATGCAGTGAATAGTGACGATGCTCTCTGACCAATCAGCAGTCTGTCGTGTTTTCACGTTACATTTTAGTATCCCAGAGCCCGCTTGGAACCTCGACAGAGGTGAGGTGATACGAAAAAAAGTACTTGGAAGCAGCTACAGGTACAACATTTCTACAATGGAAAACCAAACAAAGGTGAGTCGAGCCAAAGGGCCTCCGCTCAGACTAGCTTGGTTTGAGGGCGTGCCTGACCCCCGCTAGCCACTTGGCAAGCTTTATGAGCGTTTTCATTGTGACATCACAAGTAAAGGAAGTGAAGGGCTGGACTACAAATGAGTTGTTTTCAAGCGGTTCAGAGCAGAGCTTTCTGTGGGAGATGGGAACTCCCTTTGGGCTGGACTTTGGGCTTTTTCACTTTGAAAACCTGTTACATGCACACAAAAGATATATAACTCAATAAACGAGAGGGGAAAAGCCAAAAAGCATAATACCACCTCTTTAATTTAAAAGCCACCTGAAGTCTTGACCTGACCAGAGTCTGTGGAAAGGAAAAGAATTCTCAAGCTTGACAGCGTCAGCAGCACAACATATGGGAAGAGGTAACATAGGCTATTTGGCTACACAATAAATAATAATCACAATATTCCTAGATAATGAAGATCAGAATGTATCACAATGCCACCTGCAAGAATTGGAAATTAAGAGGCAAAATTTAGGAGCTTGTTTTGGTGGACAAGAAAATGGAGCGCCTCCAAGAGGACAGAGACTGAAACAGACAGAGAGTAGGGTGAGATGGGTTACTTACCAGTCAACCAGTGAACACTTCTATTAATTTACTCACTCAGTCTTTTCAGGTGGATATTATGAGGAATAGAGATATTTACAGACGACACAGTATGTTTCACTTGTTTTAAAGATTTAATGCATGCATACTGGGGTGGCAGTGGCACAATGGACTATGCCTTTGGTGTGAGAGACCCGTGTTCAATCCCCCACTGTGACCCATCCACCGTTGTTAACCCCTAGTTGCTCCAGAGGTGTGCGACCTCTGACATGTATAACAATTGTAAGTCGCTTTGGATAAAAGCGTCAGCTAAATGAAATAAATATATTTCATATAATCATTTATTCTTTGATATTTTGGTGAAGAAGCTAGCCACCCATCCCGCTGCTGCTCCAACTGCTGCTTCAGCACTGGCCACAGCTGCAGTGGCAATTCCTGACAGACCAGCAGCACCTACAGCAACATTACACAGGTTTTTAATCAAGGTATCAAGTCACAGAGACGCTGAGAAAGCTTTGTTCTCAAGCCAACAAGCTAATTCAGTAGTACTTTTGTCATCACCAGGGCTGGATTGGTAATCTGGTTTACCGGGCAAATGCCTGGTGGGCCGACACACCTTTAGAGTTGTAACTAAATTATTTATTTATATAACTGTTAACTTTATATATATAACTAAAAACGGGCCAACAACCGGCTCATAAAGCATGGACAGCGGCCCATTGGGTGATTTTCTATACTGGCTGTAGAAGGTTTGATACTCTGAATAAAAGAGGCTGGAGGCCCCATCACATCTCTTACTAGCCCCCACCCCCTCTGCTCTGTGTTCCTTGCATTATGCCCCCCCCAAAAGAAATTCTTCAGACTGAGGCCGCAAATGTGTGAAAACAACCATGTGTTAGCTACCGGGGCTGCAGTAGCTTCAACATCAGCTGTAGTACCCTGAATAGAGCAAGCACAGACACTTGAAGGAGTAAAGGAGAGCTGTGGCCGCTGACAGGCAGAGGAGGAGGCTGTGTTAGTGAGTGACAGGGCTGAGTGAGAGAGAGAGCAGGAGGAGAGCGGAGGTGAAGCGGTAAGCATGAGTAGCTCAACCTGTAGGGATGGAGGCTCATTTACACTGGGGATGGGGAAATGTAGGCTAGGGTACATGTCACCATGTGTCATGGGGCATTAGCCCCGAATGTTTTGACAGTAGCCCTGAATGTAACTCAACAACAACATAAAAATAACGGGAACCCCCACCGTTACTGCCTGCCTGAGAGAGAGAGAGAGCCTCAGGACCAGCTGGTCTCTGTAAAAGTCCTGAATGGAGCGCAGGTTGGCACCGATGATGGACATGCAGAGCACAGACTGGATGATGGCTGTGTAGAAGTGGATCAGCAGCTCCTTAGGCAGATTGAGCTGCCTGAGCTGGCACAGGAAGTACATCCTCTGCTGGACCTTCTTGATGATGGTGTCTGAGTTGGGCTCCCACTTTAGGTCCTGGGAAATAGTGGATCCCAGAAACCTGAAGGATTCCACAGCAGACACAGGGCTGTTGAGTATGGTGATGGGGGCCAGAGTGGGGGGCCTCCTCCTGAAATCCACATGTCATCTCCACAGTTTTGAGTGAGTTAAGCATTGGGGCCAGGAGCCCTCCTGATCTTCTGTCCGTAAAGAGGTGGCTCACATCGTCTACACAGATCATGAGTGCAGGTGAGGGGTCGGAGAGGGGGGGTGACAGCGTGGCAGTGGGGGAAGGTGACTGTGGGCTTCTCAAACCTACAGTAAAATCCATTCATGCTGAAAAGTGGTGCAGTGATACACTTACATTTACATTTACATTTACTCATTTGGCAGACGCTTGTTATTGTGCAAATAAACCTTTTCTCAAAGCACTCTCACATAACATTTCTTGTTGTAAGCTATTTATCAGAACCATTTTAACAAAC